GCACCCTCCATAGCCTAACCATGCAGTCTCCTGCCACACAGATATATTAACACAGTGTGTTAAAAACCAAGGCAAACTAAAGATTTTCCAAAATTAGAGTATAGCCAACCTCTCAAAAATTACAATGTATTCAAATGAACCACAGACTGTAAATCCCTTGCATACTAAAGTCTGCAGAAACTTACCACCAGTAACACATAAATGACATTCACATAAGAGTAATTTAACATCTATGGACATGAAGGTTGCTGATCTACAAGTCTTCAATGCCTCCAACTCCCCACACCCTCACCCTCCCAGATCTCTTACCCTGGCTTACCTTGACATTGGGCATGTATTTAGAGAAGCGCTCATATTCCTTGCTGATCTGAAAAGCCAACTCCCGAGTGTGACACATCACCAGCACAGACACCTTGGGGTGGGGAGAGCAGACAGAGACAAACAGTATATCCCTTTACTATTCCTTCCAGGAAACGATGGTTACAAAAATACACCGGATAGATCATAAATGACCTCAATTCCAAGATCTAAATCATTAACAACACAATTACTATGCAATATCCCATATGGCCATCAGACAAAGGTAAGAGAGATCATTTAGCAACAAACTTATGGCTCTGAATGTATCCTGTGGCTGAGGCAAAACATCCTTCTCAAATATTCCTAACCAAAATGTCTTCCACAGCACTTTCCCCAAGTATACCTGTCCAGTAACCGGCTCCAGCTGTTGCAGTGTGGCCAGCACAAACACTGCTGTCTTTCCCATGCCTGACTTGGCCTGGCATAGAACATCCATTCCCAAAATGGCCTGAGGAATGCACTCATGCTGGACTAGAAGGTGGGGAGAGGAGAGAGAGATAAATTAGACTTCGTCAATCTCTAGCAGTAACTCCACAATCTTTTTCACCATTCCAAACCCATTTCTCACCGCTCAATTCTTAAAGGTTCTTATCAACTTCCAGACCCTTTATACCTCTCTGCTCCTTCAAATTCATCCCCAAAGCAGACCTCCCAAGTTCTATGGCCGGTCCCCACCCTCCTAACAACCATCCTGCACCTGCCAACACTTCACCTTTGGTGCTCCTGACTCTGTTTCTCTTAATCTGTAATCTATTCCCCTTAATCTGTAACAATCCATGGCATCTGAGTGCCTTTCCCAGGCCGTTCCTCCTACTTAGCTTCCCATCTTTAGGCTTAGTAACCCTGGACACAAATGAAGGGCTTGGCAGCTCACTCAAAGAAGCCCATTATACATCAGCCATAAAGACACTAAACACCAGAGTTGGCCTGACCCAATAGAGACTAAAGGTCCAACCAGCTTCTCTCTGGAAATTCAAAATTAGAAGCCTAATAACAAAATTAAGAACAAGTAGACAAAGGGGCACCTCCGTGGCTCAATCAGTAAGCATCCAACTCTTGGTTTTGGCTCATGTCATGATCTTGCAGTTCACGGGATCAAGTCCCACGTTGGGCTCTGCACTGACATTGTGGAGGAGATTCTCTCCTCTCTTTGCCCCTCCCTCACTCCTCCTCTCCCCCACCCAAAAAAAATAAACTTAAAGGGAAAAAAGTAGACAAAGAGAAAAACCAGTCATAACAACAAACAGCAGACCTAGAAGTTGCTTTTAGGTCTCCAGCTTTTTCACACTGTCATGAAAGAAAAACCAATCTATTTAAATCTCTCTTAATATTAAAACAGTTCTTGATACTTTATTTTCTGATCTACCCTAAATGAATACATATTACCTGAGGAGCTGTTTTACACACCTGTTTCTTGTTCCCTTAAAGAACCTAATGAATACTCCAGGCCCAGCAGGAAATTTACCTTCCGATGGATGCTCAAAGCCACAGTCAACAATGGCCCGGAGCAACTCTGGCTTCAGTAGGAAGTCACGAAAGCCAGAGCTGTGGATGGAGACATAGGAGCCCTTGACATCCTTCTTGGCAGGGGCCTCAGCCCCGTCTCCTCCTGCTGCTGTCTCCACCTCATCTTCTTCATAGTCCAAGAGCTCATTGTCCACATCGTTCTCTGCCATTACTGGGCCAGCAGGGGGAGAAGGGGAGGAGTCTCCGGATGGGTTCTCGCAGAGTAAGTGAAAACAAGGGAGGAGAGTGGGGGCTTGAGCAACAGTTTAAAAAAACGAACAACCTAGTTTCTGATAGAAGAGCTAAAAAAAAGAACAAGATGAAAGACTTATTAGTCGTGAGCAGAGCCTTCACCGCCTCTTTTCCATCCCCACACTTTTCCCACTTTGCCTATACTATGACAGCTTTATCTGGAAAGAAAAGTAACAGGAACACAAAACATAAAAACAAACATAATATAGTGGTCCCAGGTGAGGTGGTTAAGACGCAAGTTCCCAAAAGATTAGTTATCAGAGTAGCATAAACCAGGAAGTACGATGGAGAGAACCAGCAACTCTTGATCTATAAGTAACAACAGTGAAAAAAAAATACATAATGAAAAGCAAAATGAATCAAGGGAGTGGAGAATGGAGACAAGATAAAGACAAGTCCCGAAAAACTCTCACAGGAAGACTTTGTGCTTTCCTTACATCTCAAGGTGTTGACCCCTAACAAAGCAGCCATCAGTCAAGGGTGATAGATTAAGGTCATCATTGCAGAGTGCTCACTTCTCAAAATAAAAACATCATGTGGCTGCCATCCACCTCCCACTCCTCAGTAACCTCCTCCTGGTGCTTAACAAATCCCTGTGTAATTAATGTGGGGATTAGGGAGTAGACTAAGAAAAATGACTAGGTCGGAGACGAATACAACCTCCCCCTTACCATTAATAAGAAAAATGGTATTTGAGATAAACTCTCACTCCAGCTTTAACGCAAACTTTAGTAAGAGGTCTTATCACCCTTCCGTTACTTCTCAGGTGAGACTCCTTTCCGATAAAAACACACTGACATTACGCATAAAGATTTGGAGAATATTCCAAGTAAAGGTTGGTAAATCGAGGTAAGAAAAATCCAACTAGGCCCAGAAGACGGCTCCTCCTCCTATTCCCACCTTGGGCCATTAAGAAGACCCAAAGAAGAGAAGGAATGTGAAAAGAGTCCCGCCCACCGCAAATGCCCACGGCCAGAGAGCACCTACCGCTGCCTCTCACCATCACTGGGGCCCCCAAGAAACGAGGACCCCAGCGAAGGAGCAGGGAGCAAAAGGAACACAATGGCGCTGGTGCCACCATCTTGGATTGGGCCCCCTACCTTCCCTGCCCCCCCCGTAATTATTAAGAGCGCTCAAAAGGGATGCAAGCAATAGAAATAACGACCCATCTAGGCCCCAGGGACCAGACCACAGCCTGTGGAAGCGGTATCGGGAGTCCATGGGACAGGATGGCCGCAGAGAAACGCAGATGGAGGCGGATGATAAAGAAGGCCAAAGCTTACCTGAGCAAGGCGAGCGCATATGGCGGCGGCAACAGCGACGAGAGAGGGAATCTGCCTTCACTTCCGGTTCTCGGCTTCCCTCTCACCCGGGCCTCCCGCCTTCTCGGCTGCCAGCGCGCAGGCGCAAGAGACCGGAAGAAGACCCTTTCACGATTCCATAGTTCGGAGCGCTCTGGGGTTGCCTTTAGAAAATGCCTGTGAAATTTTTTTTTAAAAGCCACTTCTAACTCCACCGCTACCGCAAGTAACAAAGGGCATAAAGGAAACTGGCATCCTCTCCTACTGTTATGTTTTTTCTCGTGCCCTTCTCTACTCCTCACCCCTTCCTTTAGGTTCTTGTCAGGCAGGTCTTCTCTCCGGGCACCCCTCCGTGGGCTCACCGCTCGGGGGAACAAGGGTGGCGGGGACTGAGAGTTCCCACGGGGTCCTTGGCCTGGTAGTCAAGGTGACCCGGGTGCGTCAGCTTTGGAGCTGGGGAACATTGGACTCCAGCTGAGGGAATGGAATGAGTCTGAGCCGCGCGCAGGGGTCCTCCCCTCTACCCTTTACCCTGCAGTGGTGAGAGGTGTTTGTCCAAACCTTTGGCCGCAGTAGTTGATGCCCCAAGGGCCCTGAGGCTGTGGGGCAGAAAATTCGAGTCTGGAAGGTGTTCTGAATCCACTGAGCGGATTCTGCCTCAGGTTTGAAAGAAATGGTGGGGCTTGAGAGTTACATGACGTTATACAAATATTGTTAATTCGACCAGAATGTCTTGAGCCCCGCCTCCGGTAGCCCCATTGTTCAGCTTGATTTTTTTCCTTAATGAAACATTTGATAACCCAGTTTTTGATATGCTACCAAAGTCAGATGTGATGTCAACAAAAATGACAGCAAACGTTCGGCTCTCTACCTGTTACCACAGTTAACCATTTAACACTAAGGAATAGGTACCATTATTCCCATAATGTAACAAACAAAGCAACATGTGCAAAATAACAAAGCTAGTTGTTTAATCTAAACACCCTTTAGTCTCTATGGTATCCTGCCTCCCTACTTAAAGAGTGCGGTTAATAATTACACTATGTATTACCTCATTAGTTCAAGTCTTTGGTGAAGTAGGCATTGTTTTCTGCGGCCAAGAGAAACGGTGATCCAAGGATGGTGTCAGACATAAAGGGCAGTTTTCCCGACTTTTAAGTATCAATTGATTAAACAATATTTATCAACTGTCTACCCTGTGCCAAGTGCTAACTTGGGGACTCACTGATCGCCCCGTCATTACAGGGTTCACGTTCCAGGGAAGACAACATATAAACAAATGTCAAGTAGTAATAAATGCCATGAAGAAAAATAAAGCAAAATAAGGGGCAAAGAGTGCTTGTTCATACATCCCAGCTTTTCTCTATAGTTGCCATCTATAGTTCTCAGGGAAGGGTTTCCAAAGAGGAACCACATATGTTCCTCACTTTAGAGAAACAATAACATACCAGTTGCTTTTGTTTTTCCAACAAGCTTCAAAGGACAGCCCTTTTGGGTATTTGAGGAATACATAAATAAGGAACAAGAGAGTGAATGAAAGTGAGAAATGATGAAGCAAAAGGAAGCTGCTTCACACACCAATTGATTTGCCCATAGGTTTTTTTTTTTTTTTATTGACACTTTTTCATTGTTACAAAGGGAAGAGTGTTGAGGATGTAGAAAGGAAGGCCATGCATACAAGGGAACACAACATCACTCTGGATCTCAGGAAGCAGTGGGCATCTGATGGGTCTTTGGGGAGATCGGAAAAGGAAAGAGGGAAGTCCAGTAAAAAGAAAGGCCAATTTAAGACAAAAAGAGAGACTAAGAAATGTAACATCCTCCTGGAACCACAGTAGAGAGGCTAAACAAGGTCTCCATTTCCTTTCCCGGGATCATAAAGTCTCTGGGAAAAGAGAGATGGGAAGAACCAATTCTTCAGAAAAATTACTAGGTTCACAGAATGAGTTAGTAAAATTAGAGAGACATTGACAAATGTGAAGAAACAGTTGTTTTTTGGTTTTGACAGGTGGGCACGGGGTGGTAATAATACCATAGGGCTGACATTTATTGAATCACAGCTGCTACATGCCAGAAACCATGCTAGGCTCTTTACAGAGTGATTCCTAATCATTGAAGCAGCCCCATAAGGTAGGTATTATTGTTATTACAATCATCATTATCATGCCAGTCTTGCAAAGGAGGACACTGGATACGGGTTAAGTAACTGTCCTGGGTGCACAGACAGCAAGTGGCAGGGTTAGGAAAGGGACCCAATGTTTCCAGGCTCTGAAGTCAAATTTTTTTTCCATATCCCTACTTCTCCATGCTACAAATTTCACAGAGAGTTTCGGTGAGGGTGACTTGGGAGTTTACAAGTCCCTGTGAAGGTTAAAGAACAGGAAGGAGATTCAGATCTGAGCAAGATACTTATAAATTTCACAGAATTATTGGATCTTGCCCCTAGAATTTCTAGGAAATGGAAAGGAGAGAAAATGGGAAAGAAGCAGTGAAGTTGGTGGGTGGTAATTTTGTTTAGGGGATTTCTTTGAGGAAGGGAACTGGAAGGGAACAGTCAGGTCCTATGTGGATCCTAGGCAGCAATCCGGTAGTTGGGGTGGACCTGGGGCCTGACGTCACAAACCATGCCAAGAAGTTGGGCCAGGACGTGTTCACGGTTTCTCTGCTGGGAGCTCTGCATGCCCTGCACCTGGCGTCTTGTAGCCTGCTCCACCTCAGCAGACAGGTTCCCCTGAGAGCCCATGGCCTGGGGGGGGGAGGGGGGAGGGAGAAGAGGTGGAAAAGAGAAAAGCAAAAGCAGAAACACAGAAAGAAGGGTACAGGTATGTGGAGGGAAAGATCCTGGAGCAAGGCTAGGAAGAAAAGTCCTTGCCAAAACCACCCCCATCCCATGGAAATATCCAGACACCAAAGAAAGCAACACAATTCCCTTTCCTTTGAGGCTTGACATCCAACTTCATCCTAAAAAAACTGGAAAATCCCCACTACCTCACTACACATGGCCATAAAACTTTGCCTTCCACCCCAAATGACATCATACTCCACACAGATGGTGGCAATTCCCCCTCCCCCACAAACCATATAAGTCTTTCAAAACTCTCAGATTCTCTTACATATCACATATCTTGATCAATAACATGGTTCCTACCAAGGGTCTCCTTCAGTCCTTTACCACCTTATTTTCTTTTAGGGTCATCCCATACACACATCGTCAGATACACCTACCAACTTCCACCCAGGATCCCATCTCAACTCTCCCACAACGCACCGCCTGCTGCTTGCTCTGGAATTCCTGTTCCCGCTCCCGACGGTACTGCTCCACCTCCATCTGTGCCTCCTCCTTTGCCTGCTTCAGACGCCGGGCCTTCCCTGGAAGTAGAAGAATAGATAGGGGGTGGGAGTAGACCCCCTCACAAAATGTGATACTAGGCGTCATTCCTTTCCAGAACATTTTTCTGCCTTCTCTCAGCCAACCAGGTGCTAGATTCTAACACCCACCCTCGTAATCAGCCCCCGAAAATCATCCTCCTAATCAGCCATCCCAACAGCATCAGCTTTCTCCCTCCGCCCCATCCCAAGGACTCAAATGTTTGCTGTCCCTTCGCACTCCAATTTTCTTTCCAGACTCCTAAGGGAGAGAAAAGGGAACTCACTCTTTCTGGCATCTGCCACCTTCTCAGCCGCCCGCTTCTCAGCTTGCAGGAGCTGCTGGATACCCTGAGACTGACTGGCCATTTCTGTCGTTATGGCTGATGCTGTTTCGGATGCTACCAAGGTACCAGAAGGCTCCCCCCAACCCCCAACGCACACACACCACCTACTCCTCTTCCTCCAGCTCCTCGCTCCAATCCTCCACTGTCCCTGGGTCTTAATGCTCCCCTTTTCCGCTAAGCCTGCTGCACCAGGTGTCTCCTCCAAACTGATCCTCCCATGGATGGCTGGTCTCTTCTCCTACCTCCCACACTTGCAATACCCAGAAGGACCACCTGGGAGCAGCAGAGACCAGGCCCAGAGCTGCTCGCTCTCATCACAGCAGGTGCAGGGTTTCCTGGTCCGCCGCCTAGGAACGGGGGGAGGGGCAGAGAGGAGTAAAAAGGAGGCATAGAGGGGTTGAAAAAGGGGGAAGGAAGTCAACATGTGTCGTGTGTTGGGAAAAGGGTATGTTGGGTTTCTCTGAATTCTTCCTACTTCTCTTCCTCTCGTTTTTCTCTCTCCCTCCCTTTTTCATCTCTTTTTCTGTATCTTTCCCAAGTCTAAATTTTCATTTGCCTTGTCCTACTCTTGTTTTTTTATGTCCCTCACGTGTCTTTTTTGATTTGTCCCAGTTCTTGACCTCACCGTGTTTTAGTTTTGGTTTTCCATTTTCACCATGATTTTTAATCCTCTCCATCTCTACTGTTTTCTCTCTCTTCTCATCTATTTTTGAACCATCTCCTCTCTTCCCTGTCGGGGGGTGGGGGTAGGCTAAATCTCTAAATCATCGTTTTTACCCTCCCTTGCTCGGTTCCTTTTTCTCGTCTACCGTCCAGTCTTATCGTTTCCGGCGGACCCTTTACCTTAACTTCCCCTAGTTTCCCCCCGGAGGCCAGACTGAGGGAACACCCCCCCCCCCGCCCCCGTTCCCCTCCCGTCCCCTCGGAGCGAGACGACATCCGGTAACGTGCCTTCCAAGTGCGTTTCCGCCCTTTACCTGCGTCTCGGCTTGCGCCATTTCCGCCAGCCTACTGTGTCTCCGCCCTTCCCGCCTCCCTTCTTGCGACCGTCTTAAACACAGGCCTCGGGCCTACAGCTCTGGGGGTACTTAGGGGGGCGGGGGGGGGCAGGTCTGATGAGTAACCCCTCCCCCCAGGTCCCAGAGGGAGAAGCCTCCACATCTGTCTGTCGGGTACATTATATTCAATTTCTAGATCATTATTTTGAAATTGTCTGTGACTTTTAAATTCAGATTTCTGTTGATATAAATGTCCCTCATCATTATTTGTCTTTTTCAAAGTCCCGTATTAAAACTTATCTGGGCTAGTGAGCCTCAAAAGCAATTATTTACCATTTTCTCAGATTTTACATTAAAAGTATCAGTGACCCAAACTCCCTTCAAAACTGTTTTCAAACCTATCATCTGGTTAAGGGATGAGCGTTAGGATAGGCCTCATCTGTTCCCGAAGATGTAAAAAGAAGGGGAACCGAAGGGAGGAACAAGATGGACTGTCAGGGATTGGGGAGGGACTAGCAAGGCTGGGGCCCTGACTGCTGCCTTTTTTTCCTTCCTCAGCCCAAGACTTCCATGGCCTCCACTTCCCGCCGCCAACGCCGAGAGCGTCGTTTCCGTCGTTACTTGTCTGCAGGACGGCTGGTCCGGGCCCAGGCCCTCCTCCAGCGACACCCGGGCCTTGATGTAGACGCTGGGCAACCCCCACCACTGCACCGGGCCTGTGCCCGGCACGATGCCCCCGCCCTGTGTCTGCTTCTTCGGCTTGGGGCTGACCCTGCCCACCAGGACCGCCACGGGGACACGGCGCTGCACGCTGCTGCCCGCCAGGGCCCTGATGGTGAGTTTGCCTGGTGGGGAACAAGGTCATGAGCGGGAAGGCAATGAAGGCCAACAATTGAAAAATAAGCTAGTGATTCGGAGGAAGGTAGCTCTCCACATTGACATGTGGCAGTCATTTGTGCCTTTAGGTTACTGAGCTACCATTCATTCTCTGAAGAGCCCAGCATTCTTGAAATAGCAACTTCAATTTTCACATCTTTCTAGATTAGTAGCTACTCTGTGTCTTGACTGGTTGTTTGCCTGTAGTACAAAAAGTAGGATAGAGGGTAGTCTCTGCAGTTAGATTGCCTGGGTTCAAATCCCAGCTCCACATTAACAGCTGAGTATTCTTGGGCAACTTCCTAAACTTCCCTGAGGCTTAGTTTGCCCCCATGCAAAATTAAATAATAACTCTTGCTATATTCCAGCACTTCTCACAAAACCACTCATTTAGTCCTCACAACATCCCTATGTAATTATAAATATTAATATTATCCCCTATTTCTCGGGTGGGAAAACAGCACAGAGAAGTAACTTGCCAGAGTCACCCAGCAACAAAGTGGTAGAGCAGGGATTATAACCCAGGCAGCCTAACTAGACCGTCCGTACTCTTAACGACTGTGTTATCCTGTGTGATATATTGTAGAACTATACAATAATAGTGCCCATGTTCAAAGCACCCAGGCTGTCCTATATGTTTTGAGAATGAACTGACACCGAACATAATTAGAGCACCTGGCCTGAGATAGCATTCAGTAGATTTTGGCCCTTGTTCCTGTTATTAGCAGATCCATACTCCCTTACCCTCAGTTCTGCAACTCAAAACACTTAAGAGCCAAACATTTTTTATCAGTCAGCCACCAGACTCGTTTGGAGACAAAACCTAACCTGAACTAAAGTGAGACGATCTGTCATTCATTTTTATCCTACTGATGCCAATATTCACACATTTCACTGCAGAAACATTCAAGGTGTTTGGTTACTGGAGCTGCCCAGGCCTTCCTCCGCTACCTTAGATACAATGTATGTACTTTCAGATCAGCCCTACCAAATCCCAAAAACATCTGAGTTCTGAGAAACCTTTGACACTGAGGGTTTCAGGTGGGGACCTATTGACAGTGGAGGCACCTCTGTAGAGATAATAGTCCTTAGGAAGATAAATCCCTCTAGAGGTTTTCCTTCTAGAGTGAGAACATTAGAGGAAAATTGGGGTTGGGATGAACAACCTTTACTCCGTTTGATTGCTGCTATTACCGTCTTCCAGCTCCCCGAAAGAAACCCCTCTCACCCCAAAAGCTTCTCCCCGTATGGTAAATTTTCAAAATCCCCTTTAATTCCCCTTAACATAATGAGATAGGCTGGCATATTCAGGTTTTTTTGTTAACTAAAAACAAAAAGAGAAGGCTTGAGAAATGCAGGCATCTAATTTGACAGCTCATATTATACACCGCAAGAGAGCAGAGAACCCTGTGGCAGATCCCAGACCTCCTCCCAAGTTCAGCCTCTACCACTTGCCAGCTGTGTTAACAGTGACATGTGACTTAACTTCCATGACCCTAATTTGCCTTTTTAAAAATTTTTTATTTTTTTAATATTTTAACTTCTCTAAAATGAAAGTTGTGACAAGTAAATGAGGCAAGCACTTGGCAGGTCTGGCACTCACTAGATGACAAGTATTGTTATTTTTATTCTCGTATTATCCTACTATGGCTTTTTGAGTAATAAAACCATCTCATAGTGTGGCAGGATCTTCCGTCATCATATTGACATCTAAGAGCGTATGAGATTGACACTATTATCCCATTACAGATGAGGAAAGCAGGGCCCAGAAGATTTAGGAACTTACTGAAATCTCGTAACTGACAGGTTGTTGTCTTCCTAAGGGGGACCTGCACTCAGGTCACTCCCAAGCCCTGGTGTCCTCTCAGGCCTTACTTCCTCCTGTTCCCCTGACAGTCCTGCCACCAGGTGGCCCTCTGGCTCTTTGCTAAAATTGCCCTCCTTATTCAGCTTTGAGCTGTTCTGGAGACCATTCTGTCTTTAAATGCAAATATTTTCTTTGAACAGATGAAATGACCCAGGATGCACTGAGGAAGGGAGGTTTTTCCCCCATTCACACATTAGGTGAGGGATGAGGCAGTTTGTGCTGGATTATCTTGACTGTAAGGTCACAACCAATGAGAAGCTTGTGATGGCTTTTGGTAACTTCTTTTTGGGACCCATCACCTCATGAGGAAGTGGTCTTAGCTGCCACAGACCCCCATATAAACATACCTTAGTTGGACAATAACCATTCTCTGTATACAAGAATTAGTGAACACTAAGAAACAGTCTTTGCAAAAATGATTAAGTCCAAAGCCAGCCTGGTTTTTTGTTTGTTTGTTTTTTTGGTTTTTTTTTGTTTTGTTTTTTTAATGTAACATTTACTATACTTCTGCTCTGTGCCAGCAAAGTACCAGACATCTACCACTCATTACTCACTTTGACCTGCACAGTAGGAGTAAGCGGTGGCCCCATTTTGCAGCTAGCTGAGCCATCTGGTTTATGTTCCATTTGCCTTTCAGCCTTACCTACCATGGCACAACCACAAACCTGCAACTCCAGCTACATAACTCTGTCTTCAGTGACCCCAGGCATGTTTTCACAAGACTGCCTGTCTCTTACTTTCCTTCCCATCCACCTGATTTCCACTTGGCTAGGTTATCCTCCCTTTCCAGCCCAACGTAAGCGCCACCTCCTCCTTAGAGCCCTTTCTGACCACCCTGTCTGCTTTTTGTTTTTGTAATTTTTTTTTAATGCCTGTTTATTTTAAGGCAGAGAACAACGGGGGAGGAGCAGAGAGAGGGGAAGAGAGAGAACCCCAAGCGGACTCCACACTGTCAGCACAGAGCCCAATGTGGGGTCAGTCTCACAGACCGTGAAGTCCTGGCCTGAGCCGAAATCCAGAGTCAGCCACTTAACTGACTGAGCTATCCAGATATCCCCACCGTACCCACTTTTACCTCTTCTTCCTCTGTGCCTCCATCAATCATCACTCAGTATAAACTTCCTATATTGGTGTTTTTAAAAAGCGTGTTGTACCAGTTAGTGTGAATGTGCCTTTAAAATAGAAATCATGTCTCTTTATGGAGAGGGGAAGAACAGTGCTGCCATCAGTAAGACACAGAGTGCGTTTTTACTTCACAATTTTTTTCATATAGATTTTTCTCAATATTAAAGTACAACATATTAATTAAAGAACACTGGGAAGTTGATAATGTACTGCTAAATTGATGATAAAAGTGGCATTTCAAATCACTGGAGGGTGGTGAGCAATTTTGGAACATTTGGTTCATCTAGGGAAAGGACTCCTACCTCACACCTGACTCAAAAGTAAATTACAGGAGGGGCACCTCAGTGGCTCAGTCGGTTGAGCATCCAACTTCATCTCGTGTCGTGATCTCATGGTTGGTGGGTTCAAGTCCCACGTCAGGCTTTGCACTGGCAGCTCAGAACCTGCTGCAGATCCTGTCCCCCCTCTCTCTGTCTCTCCCTGACTTGTGCTCTCTCTCCCAAAAATAAACATTTAATACATAAATAAATAAATATAAATAATAGGGGCACCCGAGTGGCTCAAGCAGTTGAGCATCTACCTCTTGATTTCCGCTCAGGTCATGATCCCAGGGTTGTGAGATCAAAACCCATGTCAGGCTCTACAATAAGCATGGAGCCTGCTTAAAAGTCTCTTCTCTCCCTGCCCCTTTCCTCTGCTTGTCCACACCTCTCTCTAAAATTTCTCTCTCTAAATTAAATAAATAATAGCAACTTAGCCTGCTTAAAATTCTCTTTTCTCCCTGACCCTTTCCCCTGTTTGTCCACACTTTCTCTCTCTAAAATTTCTCTCTCATAAATAAATAAATAAAATAAGATAATAGCAGCTTAAATATCTAAGTACAACAGGAAGAGTATGTAACAAATTCATGGGAGGCGTTTCCTCTGGTGATGAGGGGCGGGTGGGGAATAATATTTAGAAGGCAATATTAGAGAAAG